CATTTTAATGAAAACATGTATCTTAATGACTTGAAAACTAGACTTCTTCCTGCAGCTATACCAAATGCAACACAGACCACATCAAATTTTCTGACAAATCCAACTTGTGACACTTACGTTATTTCAAGAGGTAATATTCTGCTTTATATTTTATTCAACTGAAGCTGACTTTTCATGTGCAACTGCAGCATATGCTGCAACAGCAAAATGCTAACATTGGTTAAAAGTTTTTTTATGAGCTGATGCTATCCAATCAGTTCTTGAAAGTATGAATCAGATGACGTTTTGCTGCCGCAGCATATATGCTACGTATGAAAAATTAGCTTGAGAGATACTAATAAATATTTTTTATCACAGAGAATATAGAATTTAGACAGAAATCTTATCAGGAGGAATTAGAAATAAAAGCAAACGAATCGTTATATGAACAAATGGGCCTAGGTGAAAGCAATAATTCTAGTAAGTTTAAACTAGCATAGATGTAGACAATAATTAAAAATAGATTAATGATTATAAAAAATGTCTTATTAATAAATTACCAAATATCATTCTTAATGAACGCTAAGTGACACACAATTAACAGAATTAATATTATAGATGTATTTATTATATGTGTAATAATTATTAGTATTTGTAGCCAGGGCCGGAGACTTTGTATTTGAGTGGGTGTTGAGCTCTTGGAATTTTGAACCTAACCTTGAAGCCGGAAGCGAGTTCCGGGCTTCACGGCGCTCAATGCGGAATGCGCGAAAGGGCATAAGCCCAAGAATTATTTATGTTCATTTATTATAATTAATCATAAAATCTGTTTACCTTTTATTATTAAAGCTCGACCATAATGTTCAGTTATCGAATAAAATTATATATCACGTGAAAAAGAGAAAAATAGAAATTAAGTTCATGTTAAGCGGCCAAGGGGCAAAGCGCAACTAAGTTCATTTAGTTTGTTAATTATCGAGCGCTAGACCAATCAGAGGTCAAGTATACTAAAAAGTATAATTGTTTAAGTTAATTGGAGAGCAGGCGGCCAATGGGCGAAACGCAATCAAGTTATTTAATTAGTTTGCAATTATCGAGCGTTAGACTAATCAGAGGTCAAGCATATTAAAAAGTATTATGATCTCATTGTGAAAGAGTATTAAATCAATGGATAAAATCAGAGCGTCATACGCGAAGCGAAACGAAGTTCGTCAAGTATAGTTAAAGGTCATTAGTTTGAGCGAAGGCCACGGGGCCAATCAGAGGTCGTTATTTCAATCAAACTCAAGAGCCAACCATAAAGTCGTAAATGATACGTGGTAAAGGGAAAACGGGAACGTAGGCTCAAAGGGGAGACGCGAAGGAATGGCTTGACGTTTCGCATATGCAAGGCTAATACCGGGTGTCCAAATAAGACAGCCAATGAAAGGACGAAACGCGTAAATCTATAGAATAAACAGCGAAATCACGCAAAGTAAGAACGTCAAGTAAAAAAGCGATGGGAATAAAAGATAATGACGTTAAAAATAAATTGGTTATATATAGGGTGTTCGAGAAACGCGATCGCGTATAATAGAAACGTGGAATTCGAAAGAATTTAATAACGCCAAGTTATATGGGACCAAAATAAGAGAAGAACCGCGTTGAAACCAATATTGTATTATACCGGGTGTCAAAATAAAGCGGTCATAGGCAGCGACATGTACGACAGTTAGAAGAAAACAAAATGTAGAAATATTCAGGGTAAAAAATGAAAAAGACTGGCGCTTGTAATAAGTTTGTATAATACCGGGTGTCCGTGAAGCACAGATGCCGGGACGGGAAATTCGCTAATTGGGAAAACGCGAAACGTCAAGATAGGTGGTAACATACACCAATAGAGATGCTGGAAATAAAAAGGGGTTAATACTTACCGGGTGTCCAAGAAAGACGCGATGCGCGACAATCAAATTTGTACAACGCGTGCGGAAAAATACATTTAGGATAAGTTAGTCAATGTAATAAATACTTACCTCAAAACCGAAGAAATGTACCTGAAAAGAAATACTGTCACTAGTGTAAGATTAAATATAAAAATACATACCTGCTGGACGGTGAACAGAAGATAGTTTATCGTTGATCGTTGAAATGTACGGGATACCTGGAATAAAAGGAATTGTATGTGATACAGCGTGATATAGATATAGATATATATAGAGATATATAGACACACGTTTGCGATAGCGCCCAAAGCGAACGCGGGAGCGTAGCGAATGAGCGAAGCGTCATGATTGGAGCAAAGAGAGGGAGAAACGCGGGTATATAAGCGCGTGCGGAGCGAGAAGCGAGGCTTTTTGCCGTCGTGCTTGTTTGTTGAAGATTGACTTGTGGCTTTATTATTTTGTATACAGTGTTCAAATATATTTTATATGGTGATTTCCACAAACCTCTTGTCGTCAATACAATTCACCCATCTCTGTAAGATAAGCTTTACAGACGAGGTGGCGCAAGAACCTTCTCCTTAGGAGGTAAAAAGGAGTGGCTACCGAAGAAAGGACAATATATGGGACCGGAATACTTACCGGAGAGTGTGATTCGGCTACAACCTAACCTAACCTCTTTTTTTTTTTTTTTTTTTTTAAA